ATAGTGATACTACATGACGATGTAAGAAGATATCGATGTTGTACCGCTGTCTGATTTGCAAATTACTATTAAATAATAAAAAATAACAAATTAACACATTATTTAGTATGGGTATGGGCAACCGCAATATATGTAATACGTAGAAATAGTCAATTGTACATAAACTAGTGAATTAAGTTTTAATTATACTTTATTAAATATCACAATGAACGCACACAATTTAGTGTAAATTTTATTAGATATTAACTTTTTTGGACATTTTAAATATTTTAGTGGAATTATTGTAACGTGATATTTATATTTCAAGAGGCAACTTTAATTTGTATATATTCATATATTTCATTACCAAACGAGAAATCTGACTAAATAAATACTTTCATAATTTGTATCGATTACTTTCCTAGGTATATTGAATAATAGTAGCTATTAAAAATATGACATAAGAATTTAATACAATGAGAAAGCGTACCATTCTTATAATTTAAAAGCAGTACATAAAGAAAGTGTCAAATCGTTGTGTACACGTACGAGTGCACATTTTTTTTGTATATATTTGTTATGCGGAAGGCATAGATTGCCTCTCAATAATAAGTAAACGTGTATAGTTTAGCTGTATAAACTATATGTTTATAATCAGGAATTATTATTTAACTTCGCAATGACCTGAGTAGAATTTTCGCTAGTAAAGATTTTATTTAGATAAAAAACCGGCCACGTGCGAGTCGGACTCGCGCACCGAGGGTTCCGTACAAACTCAATTTAATACCTCTACGCGTTCATGAGAAAAGAGGTAGTAACTTTAAAACAAAGTGATTCAATAAGGGTTTCGTTTTTTCTTTTTGAGGTACGGCACCCTAAAAACTGAGTGTCAGCTATCTTGGTTTTCTCGTCTATTCAGAATCTGTTTCAGTGACACGAATTCGTATGATGAAGTTGATAAAGTCATTTAATAGTACAGTCAATCTGTCGAAAAAAGTATCGTTTCAGTGAAAAAAGAACCTAAAGGGTAAGTCTTGTTTTTTCTGTTGCCAAATGACGTCAGTAAGCCACCTTGGCGATGGGCATGTTCAACTCGTAAGCGTTTTTTGAAAAACTCAAAAAAACCGTCAAAAATTTTTTGAAACGCATTTTTCTTGTTTTGTATGATGCATTTTACTTAACTTAACTTTTTTTCGAACATAATTGTAGAGGGCGTTGAGTACTACAATTTATGTCATTGTTGCAATCTCGTACAACAAAAAATGCGCATTGTAGGTGACGCTAAAGTCTCAAAAAAGTGTTTTTTCACTTTTTGACCCTGAAAATATCATTTTAATGGAAAACTTTAAATGGCAAAGTTGTTTCGTACATAATTACCAACAACTTTTATATAAACAATTTTTTTGTATTACTTACCGTTTTCAAGTTATAAATTGCGCAGGTATGAAAAATCCAATAGAGCGGTTTTGGGCAGTTCAAGTACACATTTGCAGTGCACATTTCAATGTACATTTTACTATTTTTTATTTTTTTTCATGATTTAAAAACAAAAAAAATAAAAAAAATAGTTTTATTTTTAGTTTTTTTCATGATTGAAAAAAAAAAATAGTAAAAACGTACATTGAAACGTGCACTGCAAATGTGTACTTGAACTGCCCAAAACCGCTCTATTGGATTTTTCATACCTGCGCAATTTATAATTTGAAAACGGTAAGTAATACAAAAATATGTTGGTAATTATGTACGAAACAACTTTGCCATTTAAAGTTTTCCATTAAAATGATATTTTCAGGGTGAAAAAATGAAAAAACACTTTTTTTGAGACTTTAGCGCCACCTACAATGCGCATTTTTTGTTGTACGAGATTGCAACAATGACATAAATTGTAGTACTCAACGCCCTCTACAATTATGATCGAAAAAAAGATTCTAAAATGCATACAAAACAAGAAAAATGCGTTTCAAAAACATTTTTGCCGGCCTTTTTTGAGTTTTTCAAAAAACGCCTACGAGTTGAACATGCCCATCGCCAAGGTGGCTTACTGACGTCGTTTGGCAACAGAAAAAACAAGACTTACCCTTTAGGTTTTTTTTTCACCACTAAACCTACAGATTGACTGTACTGTAACAGAATAGTTTAAAAATACCGCTTAAAAAGAGATCGACAAATACTGTATGAAATACATATAATTAATTATTGTAACTAAGTACCCATAAGTGAGGGTTACTTTAGCTCGGGCGGGTAACTTTGTCCCAAATCAGAAAAAGTATTGAACTTGCCGCCCCATCAGTATCTCTTGGGTGAACGTAATAGTTCCAATTGAAAATCACAGATAGCCATATAGGCGCGTAGTGTTGTGTTGTTTTACCGACATCGTTCCTGTATCAAGTTGTCATTGTAACGTGGGATTTTTTGTAACTGAAATAGTGCGCAAGTTCATGCGCAAACTTTCTCAGTGTGGTTTTCGGTAAGTTTACTATTTTTTCTAATTTTAAAGTTATATTTTTTATTTAACTTAATTATTTTTGGGCAAAAACATCCATTTGTGTATTCAGTATGCTAATGGTGATCTGTTATAAGGGTTACTTAACCCCAACATGGCTTAAAATGAGTTTTTTTCACAGAGAAAACTCAACGAGCTAAAGTAACCCTCTTTAAGGCCAACTTTGGCCCAAAATTAAAAAAACATATTAACCCTTAAATATATTTTTTTCCTATTTTCGTATGATTACTTTGTAACCTATACTTTAAAGTTCACAATGGAAAGATATAACCGTGACATATTCATCACAAAGAGAAGCTACAATTTTATTTGAAAAAAAAAGTGCACGTTTTAGGTCAGTGTAACCCCCAGTTACTCGGTATTTGAATTCAATATTGTTGGCAAAATCGATCGTTCGACTGCAGTTTTAGAAAAACTTGCAAGATAGGTAGTATTTTAATCGGGTCAGGCCAAAAAAAGTTCGTTGATCCATATCAACAAAATATTATCATTCTTTGCTATAATTAATTGAGCTTTGTGTATAATGAAAAATGCAGAGCTACTGCTATTCGCTGGGTGCGCAATAACAGCTCCAAGTAGCGGTTACAATTACGGTGTAATTTTAATGTCAAATGACTGGCTGTCATTACGAAGATTATGTAAACAAACAAATAATTTCAATGAAATAACGTAATTTACATATATTTTATAATATATGCTACAACCAATGAATTTGTACACACGGACTTTCTCGTGGCTGACTTTACGAGAAGTAAGAAAAGACTGCCACTTTTAAAAAAAAATTATGACTGCAGCGTTATTAATTATAAAACTGGATTCCAGGCAATCGCACACGACATCGCTTTCCAACCACAAACGATAATAGAAGGAAAATCAAAAAGTTTTGGCTCAACATTTAAAAGATGTTAAAGGATTGTAACATGCTACTTCCTACAAAATACAAAAAATAATACTAAAAAAGTTTCTCTAAAAGTTGCTTACAGAGATTTTTTTTAGTATTATGTAGGAAGTAGCATGTTACAATGCTTTTACATAGTTTACTTTTCCTTCTTGACAGTGGTTGTCCATTTCATTCATTGTTCTCGTTTCCAACATGCATATGGAATTTTATAAAATTTGTGATCACGGTTTTTGCCATTGTTCTTGAAGTTTACTAGTACTAGCAGGTTCGTTACGCATTTTTATTTATTTTTACATAAAATGCACCGATATGTAAATTTTGCAAGTTAAAAGTGTCAGTTGATCTGCCGAAAGTTCCTTCTTTCGCCACGGTGCGCGCTGCGATCGATTCGTGGTTCCCCCATCTCCTACTTCTCACCTAGTGAATAATGGGACGACATTGAAAGGTGACCCGTCAAAGTGCTATGGTAATCAAACGAGAATAGATTCGTATTAATATTTATTGGAATAAGTTATCCTTTTCGGTATCACCCTACCACTAAGAAGTAAAGCTTGACCTATCCATATCATACATTATTTATAACGTTCATAAAACAGTTACGGCATCAGTCTAATACCCCACTTGCATGAAATGTATTGCAAAAAGTCTTTACCAATAGGTACTTTAACATCACTCCCGGTTCTTGTTAATATTGATCAGTTTTGACTGGTTTTTGTTGCCAAAGATTCAGTAAAAATCAGTTTAGACTGAATTTTGTAGTCAAAGTAGATCGATCAGTTAAGAAATATTCAGATTGTCGATGTCGAGCGGGATCATGAAAAATAAAGAAAATGTTTTCTTGTGTAAGCGTAGTAAGCGATATCGCTAGCAATGGGTTAAGATTTTGATCTAAAAGACCATGCATAGCGGAGCAACTTCACAAAAGTAGTTTTAACTAAAAATGAGTGTTTTACGTATATATGCTAGGCTATGATAAAGCTGCTATATCATAGTCGTGAAATTAAAAAATCGTATTTATTCATGAAGTCGAATACAAATGTGCTCTAGTATAGAAGGACTTACCGTAAATAAGTTTTATAGCTTCAGTGCCATCAGTACCCTCTGGGTAACTCATTAAGATTTCTATTCACATTCGTGTCATGTAGACTTCTGGTCAGTTTGTGTCCCAGAATGACTCTAAAAGAAAAACTTTGATATCGAATATGAAATCTCCTGAAATCTTTGCGGTCACATTTTTTTTTCTATGGAAAAATTACCTGAACTTCTACTATAACTACTACTAACTTTTGGCCAGTAGATTATACCCTATTAGTAACAGCACATCGAAGTTACAGTAGGACAAGCAAACCCAGTTGATAAACGGAAACTTTCATGAATTTCTTAGCCACGATTACACATAAGCTATTATTTTTTTATTATTTACAAAGTTCTACTAAATATTATTTATATTGATTTTAAGTATTTTGAAAGCTGTACAAAAGCCTGTATATTATGCATGCTAAACGTAACATCATGCGTTAAAATATAGTTGGTAAGGGTCCCATAGCGAAGCGAAATCTATTAAAAAATGTGTTTATATCCAATAGCTAGTAAAATTTTACCGATTTGTGTTCACAGATCTTGAAATTCCAGTGAAGAATAAAATGAAGACCGAAGATGCGCAAAGCGCTCCCGACACCACATCAAAATAGGATATTTTACAAAAAATATTACTTATTAATTAGCTTTAGTTGTTAACTTGGTGTGTGATTAAATTAATTAAGTTATTGCGCGAAGCGCCGGCCGGCGGCGCGGCGCGTGCCTAGTCCGATTACAGATAAAACAAATATTTATCTATCTAATATCTGTAACATAAATATACAAAAGTAATATACACCAGTCTGTGTAGCTATGGTTAATTTATTTAGCAGTTTACGTTGCGTTATATCAAAATTAAATAAGTACATTTGAGTTAACTAGTTTCTCTTAACTCCGGTGCGTAAGCGGGAATTATTACAATACATACTTTAGGAAAGCGTCTGTGATTATAAACGAAGAAATTTGATGAAAGCAGTTTTAAATTTAGTCGTGTACTTGTGCATAATAAATGTTAGTTTTATTCGGTCGGGTGGCGGCGGGCACACCACTCAGCAGGCGACGCCCGCCTCAGTTCGAGGTTACTTATATTAAACGACTTACCTTCTTTTAATCTATAAGCACTTTCAATCGAGTTTATAAATTGTTTTTCATTGTATGATGTGTACGATTTTTTACAAACGTGTTCTCTGCTATCTGGCTGCGTGTGCGTCTGTCGCGCGTTTCTGAGGCAGCGCGCGATTCCCCTCAATATAGTTATTTCATTGAGATGTTACAGAATTTATGAGAGTTGTTGGGTAAGTTTAAGGGAAGAAATTATGTTTAGATATGCGGTTGTTGCCTACTTTATTAGGTGAGGTTCGATTACAATTAAATTAATGATACAAGAATGGTAAACCATTAACTATTAGAAAACTAATAGGAGTCAAAATCGGTGAATTTAATTTTTGATAGTCACTTTTCAATCTTTATTCACGCATATTTAAAATGATTACAAAAAAATACATGTTGATAGTCAGTAAAAATACCTGCACCTAACAAAGTATTTAACAGCTTCGTAGATAGGTAGCGATAAAGTAAAATGATTGATAATTAAAAAATCATATTTAAATTCTACAATTGTTCCCCTAAATATATATCTGGGTGTTGTATAAATTATTCAATGTTATTTTATTGGCCATACCAGTACAAACAAATATTATCCCTGTAAATAAAATGTTACACGTTTACAGTGATTTAAATCTACTTATATATTGTAATTATGTAAAATATTTTCAACGTACGTGCAAGAAGCCTTAAAAATCATAGATTTTTAATAAAATATGGGTACTAGCATCTACCGGCCATCGGTCGAAAAAAATGATGTATTTTTATAAAACATATTGTTCTTTATTAACATATATAATATGTTAACTAAAAGTGCATGGTTTCGTATTTTTCTAACATAAATATAGTAGCGTACGTAAACAAGTGTAAAGATCAACTATCAGATGAGGAAATTATGTATACATAATATTAAAACTTAATGTTATTATTATCCTTGTATTTAGCCCACGTAATAAACGTAACAAATTTAATTTGATAACGTTTTATTTTTGTAATGAATGACGTCAATTCGGTGGTAGTGAAAGCCCATTTCATGAGCCGGCAAATGTTTGTACAATTTATTTACAATTTAGTGTTTTCTGTAGCGCCTGAATGGGAACCATGGGCGGTTAAAAAAACAAATCGAATATATGTATGTGTTCAAAATGCTTCATGCGATGGGCTTTAAACCTAGTAGTAAGTACACTTGGGTACGTAACGAAAGATTAAGTTAATCTAAAATGTGATTGACGGATTGTGTTTTAAAAATTGTTTATGAATTAAAATTAAAAATTATAAAGTTATAAATAATAGTGTCATTGCACCAAGTGCGAGAGTAGAGTAGGCCGCATCAACGATTTGGTAGGCATTAACTACTGAGAAACTGTTTAATGCTTTCCATTTAATTTGGCTTAGCCCTTAACTAGCCTTGTATACTATACTGTAGGTAATTAAAATTATGCACCGTGTTTAATCTGTAATACCGTCCAGTGAACACAGTTATTTATCATCATAACATTATAAAGATGCTTCGCGAATCTGATTCAGTTGATGCTTAAGTAATTTGATGTTAGACGATCGTTGAGCGGTTGTATGCGTTGCTCCTGCGGGATACGTTTCCTTTCATAGTTTGGATTATACTGTTTGAAATTGGGAGCACCTTTATTATATAGCAATACGAGCTAAATCCGCAATGTAAATGTAGCCATGTAACCTGTTAAAGCATCTAATGCCGTTTTATGTGATCTTCAAATTATGTAAAGGAAATTAAATATAACAATGTTAGGTACATTGTTCAGTTATTTTGCAGTTCAATTCAGTTTGTCCTTTTTTGTGTTTAAATACTTTATTAATATTATGTCAGGTACACACAAAGGAAGAAAAATATAAAATCAAAATATTCTCCACGATAAAGTCGTAACTAAAAGTAGATATTTTCCATAAAACTGCAGATTGTTTAATCAACTACCATAATACTATTCTGATTATTTTTGAAAATTCTTATTTAGAAGTGTTGAAATAAGTAATGTGGTGAGATTTTTCGTTGTTATATTATTTATGATAATGCAAAAGTTGAGAACTAAAACCTAAAAACATATTTACCAAATCAATTGGAACAACTAGTTACCGTGCGTTTCTAAGCAATTGGTTTTCGCGAATCGAATAGTTCTTGGTGGCTCTTATAATTGTCAACGTTAGTAATGAGGTTGCTTATCATTATAATAATACCAATAGGAAACATCTTAAAAATCCTGAAAGGAGTCGACGTCCATATATCCCGAGATATGCCAACGATTCGTTATGTTTGCATACAAAATTAAAGTTTGTGTAGACTCGCTTGAGACTTTTATATCTTACAGAGAACTAACAATAGTCATAATAATGACAATAGAATGCAAATTATGTACCTGCTGCAAATTGTTTTTAACACAAAATAACTTTGACGAAGTTCCTTGATATATTGTTGTGGTACAATTTAATACATAATAAAATTAAATAATACGAAATAAAAACTGAATTTGTTCATAAAACAAATCAATCATTTTATAAATTTTTTTACTATTCTTAAGAATGTACTAACTTTAGAGAGTCTATTAAAATCTGCTATTTAACTGAACGTTTTAAATAAATATAGCTTTCTTTTTTTTTCAATTAATAGTAACAACGCTGTGTATAAATATAGCGGTTAGATGCAGGAGTCTTAAACCCCAGGTCGTGTTATTATTTTAAATTAATTACGTTACAAATACGTGAAGCTATGAACATGACTACTTTCGTATTTAAGGATGTGCGCCTAAACTACATTTCAAAATCAATAGAAACAAGAGACATTAATGTATAAATAACGTGTGTGTGTAATGTACAGATACAATTTTAAAATAATTATATTTATTATTCCCGACATCCTTAAGAGTTGAAAGCAGTCCGTTGGTTGCTCTCGCTTCAATTTGTAATGTTATTTTTTCAACTCAGTACGAGTGAATTGAAGTGAGATGTAGCTTCGCGATATTAGACGCTTTATCGAAGGCAAAGCTGATCTGTGATGGTATGACATAGTTAGGTACATTAGGCTGTGTGGGTCTTATTTTTCTGTACTCGTGTTGGGTATAACCATTAGCGCGTGACCAATTTATGGGGAAGATCACATGTTCCCACTGCAGCTTTAAACGACGGTTATAAAAAAAGAGAAGGCATTTCGCTGTCATTAGCTGATCTAAAATTTAAATTTTAGACCGTTCAGAAGCCGTTATACCTCTACTCTTGATTGCTTTTATCGGTTTTGTGATAAATGATTAACTTACCATACGTATATGTTACCATTTTATAGCTACAGTGTATCGCGTCAAACTGTGAATTGCTCTATTTAAATACTCGGCAGTATTATTTAGGTGTTTTTATTTTACTATTATTTTTCAGTTTGCACATCACCGATGAGAGGAATCGAGTTATAATCATATACACCTCAAATGACTACGATTATATTGTATAATTAACTATCAAATTATGTATATTACCAAAATAACTATCTGATAAGTAAATGGAATACAGGCAACATAAATTTTATTATATCTAATGTATGTGTATTATGATTTAATCGATTTATGAATATACATATAAACTATAATTGTAATCAGAATATTCAGTATACCAATATTATAATATATCGTAATGATTATTATATGATCCTATATTATTATTCAGAATCCTTCCAATAGGTCCAACTTCGACTACAAAATTAATTTATTTTTTATTACAATATGATTATGACACGGCTGCATATGTATAGTATGTTAATGTGTCACTATCATATTTAAAATCAGTGTACCTAGTTCGAAAAATATTCATAACTTATAGGTATTTGTATGTTTTATAATATTGCGTAGTCGTTCGCCGGCTTATAGTGTTTGGGTCCGAGGTACCAGTCGTTGTGCCATTAGTTAAATGTTCGTACAGGGTCGTAGCAGGCGCGCGCATCCCTCACTCACTCGTTAACTACAAAGCTGCAGTTCTAGCACGAATCACACCACCAAACAACATCCTTACATTTCACTCCAGTAATTGTTTTTAACGTAGACAAATAAAAATTCTTTTCAAGGTGCCAGTGATTGAAATCATTTTCTTTACACATAAATACTTAACACTATATCTTTTCCTGTTAGCTTCACACCTCTAATTATTATTAATCTAAAGCCACGTTCGATGTTTGACATTTTGATTCAGTTGAATGTTTAAATCTTTACATATAAATCTAAAACTACTATTTAATTTTAAGATTAGCGTGTAACGTACAGCGTACGAGCTGTGTTTTAGTGTTTACGGAAGTATATCTATATTTATGAAATAATATAATAAGTATTTTAATGTTAAGACACAATGAGTGTTCTATGTAAATGTACATTTTGAGTTCAATTAGTTTAAGCGGATGACAGTAGCGTGTAAGGCCGCGCGTGGTCGAACAGTCCTGTTGGTTTGTACTGTTTACTGGGACTGTTTGTCGACGCTCGGCTAGTGTCCGTCCACTCGCTCAGATTCGCTCGCGCAATGTAACGTAGCTTTGCCCGTCGCACCGTGTTTACAAGTCTTATAAGCTAACATGTTGTTTTTTTTCTTCTGACAGTCTTTGCATTGTTACCGCACGACAGAGATGAGTTGTTGAGCTTTTTGCAGATCAGATTTATAGTGGTTTTCTAAATTGAGTGTTATTATACTGAATTTGTTTTATGATACATTAATAATGTATTTATAATACTTATATAGGTTTTTGACTTCCGAGCAACAAGCGAATCATAACAACACTAATAAAATTATTTTCCAACAACCATTCAACAATTTATAAGACGTCGCTAACACTACATAAACGATTTTTATTGCCGATATGCCAGCAACATTTCTTTTGTCAAAAGTAATGCTTGATAAGATTCACAGAACTTAAAGGCCATGTGAGAGAACATAGCTTTTTGATGGTGTACCGAGCGTTCATTAGTTGGTATCGCTCGTGACGCTCATAGCGCTCGCTCGCGGGGGGAGAGAGGGTACGTACGCGTCGCACACATTCCAAAATAGCTAATCGTAACGCTCAGCGACAGGCGTCGGGATCGCGTTACTAATTAGTAAGTTAACCACTTTGTTGTTCATTAACGATAAGTTAGGTTTAATCTCAGTCGATGTTGTTTAACTTTAGTCTGTGTATAGTATTCTCTCGGTTAAGTTTATGTGAGTACGTGAATTTGAGCGAATCGACAGACCTAACGAAGGGTTCATACTAGCTGTAATTATTAAGTACCTAAGCGATTATTTCTGTTGCACCCTAACTTTATTTCTTAAAAAACTGTGTTAGTTATATTTTATTAATTGTACATATAACGTAGGTAGGACGATGTATACAGTGTTTTCATTCAATCTTAAATGGTTATTGTTGAATCTAAAATGTGGGGATGGCAAATACTAATGCACTGTTGCATTTTGCTGTTAATAAATTTAAGTAAATCTTTTATCTGATACCATAGGTTTACGAGTTATTTATGTGTTACTGTTGTATAGGGTGAGGTCACATCTCGGGTGTGGGCCCGTGTGGTCCCGGGGTGTACCGAGGAACGATTACCTCGCATCCGGGCTCAAGGCTCGGTCGCACCGATCAATCTTATTGTAAATCGTAATACATAAGTACATCCAATTAGTTTAGCCACGAAGGCTCGCTGTGAGGCTGCATTCAATCTAACTGAATTATTTTTTATTGTATACTCGTAGATTTTTTTTTATAACGGCACATCACGCGCAGTACATCACGAACGTAAGTAAGGCTTTATATTTACATTCAACACTATGATCCCTCGACAGTTCTTTTAACAGTGGAAAGTGTGACATTTTAGTGTAACAACTCCATTATATCATGCTTATCAGAATTGTCAGCGGCACAAGATCAACACCCTGGAACAAACCACCTTGCCTTGCTGTGACAATTCAGTTAGAATGGATCGACCGTTATGTTTACCGCAGCCACAATTGTACCGTGTCATTACCTCACATTACATCTTTTATACATTTTAAAAATAGTTATTGTTGTCGCTAAATCTTTTAAACTTAATTTTATTGTCAAATATTGTTTAGAGGTGTCTTTTTAAGTTTAAAAAAATTGTAAACACGATGATCTATATAGATGGCAAGATAAATATGTATATTATGGCGGTGTGAGATCGGGCGTGCATCGTCAGTGTATTTATTCTCGTGGTGATTAATAAATATTGTGAGACGCACGAACGCGCCGGGGGCGGGGCGTGCCTCCGCACCCGCTCGTTATTGTAGAAATAAATGATATTTTCGTTTAAACAATTGTGTCTTTATTTATCTAAATCCCCTTTGTAGATCAATTGTTATATTATCTAAGCCCCTCTGTAGATCACTTATTATGTCAGTATATTTTAAATATTCATAGATGAATAGTGTAAATAAGTAGGTAGGTATATATATTTACCCAATAATGGATATTGGTGTTCCAAAATTCTGTATAAATAGAATGTTGCAAACATATGTATTAATGTAAACTCAGGTAAAGAAAATTTTATATTTTAATATATGAGATTCGTTACAACAGCATTAAAGAGCGAAATAAACACATTAAACTGTATCTATGAACAGTTGTAAATTCTTGCATTGCGTATTCTTTTTTTTATTCTTGCATTCTAAGCATTTGCGAATGTACCTTATTAAATTTGAAAATATTATGAACTAGTGCCCTGCTAGCTTGCTTAGCTTCGCGTATATACTATAATTTTATTCTCGGGCTTATACCCGAAAATCCGTCTTATGTCCTTATCTTACTCTATAGGAAATGAAAAGGAGACTGTTGTCAATAGCCATGTGCAATCACGGCCTAACAGGTGGTGAAAATCCCATGAAATTTCGTTCAGTGCTATTTGAGAATGACGCGAACTTACATACAGACTGTTACTACAAAGTATTATGTAATATGTACGATATGAAATGAATTTATCCTAATTTATAAATTTGAATGTGTGTTTGCATATTTCTTATGCTTTCACGCATAAACCACTGAATCGATTATGCTGAATTTTTGTATAGAACTAAATGGGTATAGGCTTTCTTCCTTTTGTCGTGATATAAAACTTCAAGGTGGTAAAATGGGGGATGAAATTTTGTAAACCGATTAAACCAAGCAAACGAAGTGACGGACACCCACTAGTAATTATATAAAGATTAGTAAAAGCACTACAAGACATTAAATGATTATTTCTCTCCACGGGCTAAATATAAATGTTACAAGATTATACCTTTAAATCTACATGAAGCTTCTAGAAACTACTAAGACAGCCAAGCATAGTTCTGCTTTATTATTTTTAGAAGAATGCCACACTCAAGAGACGTTAAATAAATCTAAATCTCATTTTAGTCGCGTGTTTGTTGTCTAATCTTTTTTATGTTGTCATCCCAAAGAATGAGTCAGCAAACTTTAACAAAGTTAAGATATACAATTGAAGTAACGTAAGTAACTGGGTTGTAAGCGCGTTCGGCTGCGATCGTTGAAGTTAAGCAACATTCGCAGTGGTTGGTCATTGGATGGGTGACCAAAAATCTTCTATCTCGAGTTCCTCCGTGCTTCGAAAGGCACGTGAAGCAGTTGGTCCCGGCTGCATCTGTAGTCGTTAGCACCCGCGAATCCGCACTGGGCCCGCGTGGTGGGTCATGGCCCAATCTCCCTATTCCATCCATAAAGAAGGCTTGTGCCCCAGCAGTGGGGACATTAATAGGCTGATGATGATGATGATGAAGTAACTTAAAAGTAACTTACGTTACCTTAACTATAACGTCTCTAAGTGTTCCCATTAGTCGCACAGCGCAAACAGCACAATACTTCAGAATAGCTAAATTAACATTTTCATTGGATTATTCATGTTTTTTTCCTTTTTGGCTTGCACGATTTGTGTACTAGCCACGACAGAGTCAAAAAGTTTAGGAAATGTGAAAAGGAAAGGGTAGACAGAATTTGGGAAAAGTGGGATCAAAGGAGTAGATTGATAGGTAGTCTGTTATATTTCAATACTAGCTTTTGCCCGCGACTTGGTCCGCGTTATCGTCGTTTTTCGTAAAAAAGTAGCATATGTCCTTCCTCAGGGTTCCGTGGTTTTGATGTGACAGACAGATTAACTTTCGTATTTTAGTAGGGAAATATAATACTGTTAAAAATATCGCAATAAGGAACCGCAGAATATTATTATTATCACTGTGCCCCGAGACCATCAGCGTGTAACTCCTTGTATGTTATTATGTTAATGTATTGGTAATATTGTTTAGATCGCTTTCACATGAGTCTTAAGTACATATAGAATGAAAATACTTCAGCGCAAAGCTTCCGGGTAGACTACGTTGAAATTTGACCCGTCCGGAACGTGAACATAAAAAATTCTAGGACTGCTAACCCGGGAAAGACCGACATAACTGACCATGTGAAAAACAACTAACACCGAGATCTACTCCAACAACACGAAAGGTCTGCCCTTGAGCCTTATTTATTGTCATTGCATAACACACCGATACTGGGAATTGCGTTCTTTTAAATTGGAATGGAAAATTATTTGGTATTATAGGAATTCTGGGAATAAAGATGGTTTCTCCTGCACCGCAACCTGTTAAAATTTGAGCCTTGATTACATTTTGTTGCAACTGGGTTACTTTAAGCCGAGTTCCATTGCAAATTTGTGGTGGTCTTAAATTTCGGAGCAGAATAATCGGAATGCCAATTTTTAAACAAATTTCATGAGAAGGAAGTACGGGCATATTTAAAGAATTTAAAAATTCTATCGGGTAATTAGTGGCTTCTTGTTCATCGGCCATTCTATTTATTGAACTATAAACTTTGCTTTCCCCCTGGATATTCGACAGTATTTTATTATTAATCTCAGATGCCTGGTCATTGCGAGGAGTTAAAATGGACCTTTCGCTTAGCCAAGAATTGTTCTTATTTAATATATTTGTTACGTCACCGTAAACTGATGATGTAAGATGTTGTTGGGATTGCACTATACAACATAACTCAGGCGTCAGAATATGTTTTCCTTGGTGTAGCAGTGGATAGGTATCTTTGGTGAAGGTATTTTCTTTAATAATATATCAGAAAATTCACGATCATCCGGGTTATCTACAGTTCTCACTCGCATGTTTATAGTCAAATGCACCGATTGTATATCACGCCACAAATAAGAGCTTTTCAGGCAAGCCCTAACCTCAGCAGCTCGGGTTCCCCGTGGTATTACCGTTAAGGTTTGTCGGAAATCACCACAAAATAAAACTGTGATACCGCCCATGGGTCGATCATTTTGTCTTATATCTCTTAAAGTTCTGTCTACCGCTTCTACTCCTTTTCGATGGGCCATCGTACATTCATCCTATATGATTAAATTACACTTTGAACGAATATTTAAACACTACCAAAACAACTAATACGTGGTCCTAACTTTAGCTACCTTACACATAAAATCTAAGTGACTATTTGAACTAAAATATTCTTATAGAATTATAACCAGAAATATATACAACTCACAACAAAAAAAGAAATGAAAATAAAGCCTGTGCAATACTATCTACCTATACCTCCTTCACTTAAAAATAAATACTTATAACTTCTTTAATTAATAAAAGTACCTACGCTTAATAATTTTTAATTTGAACGAATATTTAAACACTACCAAAACAACTAATACCTGTTTTACAAAATAACAACAAAAGAAATTCGAATAAACTATTTAAAGACTAAAAGTCGCGCTGATAAGCACGGTTTCGGTCTCCCAGGCGGGGGAGCAGATGAGAAATCCTCATGGATACCCTACAGCCGGCTGCAAGGTACTGACTAAAAAACACCCGTAGGGGCTGCCTCTGGCCGGGAAGGCCTCTAAAGCTTCATCGGAAGCGATCGTCCCCCAGGGGGGGAGCGACGCAGAAAACAGATTTAGACAGCTCGCTCTCGGACCTTTGATACCCTACCGCTGCCGCGACCCGTGTCGAACGCGGCAACCGTTACACAAAAATAATCCTTATAGCATGATTCAGTATTCACGTGCGACGGCGCGATGGCTTATTTCATGTATAAGTTTGGTGTTTCTATACCGAGTATTATAAACGTAAGAGTAAACAAATATGATCAGAATGCGCCGAACTGCTAAGCTATCGGGAGTTACACGTGTTATTGTGAGTCAACCATAAAAGATAGACATATGCTGTTGCGGGATATTTTTTAAACAATTTTATGTAGAATATTTCCGTCATACATGATTTCTATGTAACTTTAATCGCACACGCGACGGAAGCTTAAAAAATGGAGTAACTTCTCCCGTTTTCCCAACATTTCCCTTCACTACTCTGCTCCTACTGATTGTAGCGTGATGAAAAGTATACTATAACCTGCCCAGGAGTATGAAGAATAATTGTACCAAGTTTCGTTAAAATCCGTCGAGTAGTTTTTGTTTCTATAAGGAACAAACACACAGACAGACAGACAGACAGACAAAAAATTTACTGATTGCATTTTTGGCATCAGTATCGATCACTGATCACCCCCTGATAGTTATTTTAAAAATATATTTCATGTACAGAATTGACATCTCTACAGATTTATTATAAGTATAGAAGATTATTAAGTGATAAAAACAGGGATCTAGCTTTACAAATATTAATATTATTTTTACCAAGTACAGTAGGAATAGTTGTTATGGTTTAATACATAGGAAAAGAAATAAATTAAAAATCAAGTCTTACCAAAAAAATTAGTTTTATATTAACATATCTACAACAAATTCATTTGTATTACAAAACGTTCCTATATATTGAAATGTATGATTTCGTTTCTGTTTCATCATAATATCTAAACGCACAACATAAACTTACGGTAGAGTAGGCAACGATTTTACGATTGCAATAAAAAGTCATATTGGCAGAAAAACACAAGTATTTTCATACTCTTACCGCCCCTTATTAATAAACGAGGAATAACCTTGGATTGGTTACTCTATATGTTGCCTATGTTTATTGAATTACGAATGAATTAAAGTGATATGTACAGCGTAACTAGTGTAAACTTATTCTTCGTATTATATAAAATAGAGTCAAACTTTTTAAAGCACAACCATAACATGATTCAGTTTATTATATATATATATATATATATATCTGTACCTAAACTTCTTCATGGCTGCATTCGAATGCTGCCGTCGAGCCTTATGGTCTCCCCGTTGAGCATTGGGTTCTGGATAATGCTCTGCACTAACAAACCAAATTCCTCAGGGTGCCCGAGACGAGGTGGAAACGGTACAGAAGCTTCTAGCTGCTTGATCGCTGGCTCGGGTAGTACATCCATCATCGGGGTACGGAACAAACCTGCGATGGACAAGTTTAATCATCTATACAGTATACTAATATTATAAAGAGGATTGATTTGTATTTTTGTCCGTTGTTAAAAGTGATAATGACCACGTGCGCTCAAAATGTGTCCCAATCACAGAACACAGAGGTTAGAAGGGGCAGGCGTGTTATGAGCAAATGCTCATAACTTGACCTGTACTTGTGATCGCATCGTTTAGTTGCTCGCGAACCCTTGGTGAAAGAGTATTGTG